AACAACTGTGAGATTTTCACAGTTGAGTCTTTAAAAATTGCCAATCATTATCTAGCAGCAATGACAGATGATTAGGAACAGTCAAATCCTCAGTTCTTTTCCTCATAGGCAGCCATTTGAGAACTGCACTAGCTGACAAGAGCACTGAACATTATCAGCTAAAGCCAAAACCAAATAAAGGCCCAGAACAAACATCCCGGCTCTCTAAAACCTGCCCAAAATCATTAAGGGAAAGACAGTAAATGCAGGACTGTGGATCGTGTCACTGCAGCTGACAATGATTAACAATAGAAGACATGCAACCCCCATTAAAGTTAAAAGTCCAAAACTAGTCACACGCATCTATCTCTATTGGGGGAAAGTGAGACTATTATGTATTCTTTGTAGGTTTTGCAACCTTGCATGAAGAGCACCCATTGCATTTCTTTCATCTTTCAGAAAGCACCTGTATCTGTTCCAAGGGCCTAACAGTACGAAAATGCATTCTGGCATCACACCTCTGAACATCAGCCCATTCTCATTAAAAAGAGTAACTTTCATTGTAACAAGAAAAGAGTATGAAATACAATGCAAGCACCTCAGTAGTGTTATTACTGAAACCCATTTACTCCCAGCTTTTTGACTGAGTAGTTTTTTAAGATCCTCTACACTAAGATTCACAAATTATAGCTATGTACAAATCAAAACTAGTAAGAATCGACCTAAGTCACAGGTTTCTCATTTGAAAGTGCAAAAGCCTATTCATCTGAAAATAAGCAGAATGAAGCAAAATTAACCCCCCCACCCCAATAATGTTCCTGAAGTCCATATTACAAGTACATTCTCTCAAAATTGTTATCGACTGGTAAGAAATAAACCTGAGCTTTAATTTCTAAACACTCAATCCCTAAATCACGGTAGCAAGTGTTGGCCACCGATTTAATGGATTATGCCAGAGGAAAACTCCATCAGGATGTATGCCAATTTAGTGACAGTCTTGTCACTAATACCTAGCATTGTGGTTGCTTTGCATTATAATTCATATAGAAAGCTAAACTAATCATCATTTGCTCTTTCATCTAGCCGGAGTCAAGTTATTTGCTTGAATGAACTACGGATTACAGTACAAATCTGTCCCCACCTTGTGAATTGCTTGCCAAACAGCAAGCCATTTTTCTTGATACAACGGAAGAAAATTCTCAGAGTCATGAAGAAGTTTCACACATTTATGCAAAGTAAACCAAATTTTCCAGTTACAGAGCAGAAAGCATTATACGTGAAAGCTGTTTCTCATGCACGCTAGCTAAAAACCAGTTCAGAGACCAAAGTTGAGTTGAGGTCTGGAACAAAAGTCGATGCAAAGCTTAAGTCCTAAGCAACAAAAGAAGGTGTTTTTGAAGACTCTTAGTAATTAAACCTTTTGGATTATAACATCATATCCCGAAAGCTAAGGGAACCAAATTCAAAAAAACTACTCTGAACATTTGCAGTTATCCTACAGAATACGACGAAGTCTTATGATTGGGAAATGATTCCCAACATGTATTCAACTGTAGGCAAGTCAATGTTTCACCAACTTCCCCCAGGTTTAGAGTTTAAATGTACTGAGTAGAATCACGTTAACTTGAACTATTCACATTAGATTCCCATCTAAGCCCAAGTTAGTAAAAAGTTGTTTCCATGAAGCTCATTTTAAAAAAATATTATATAAATCACATTTTTTTTTTAAAAAACCCACTAATTTTTGTTCATTCACTCAACCTGCGGAGTAATTATCTCTAAAATTGCAGTCTGAAATTATTGATATTGTTGACCTACAGGCAGGTCAGTTTGCTACAACATAGACTCATCATCACATGCTATTACAGTCCATTGTCAAGGTGCTAAAAGCAGTCTACCTCCCAAGTATGGTTTGGTTCCCTTTCCCCCACACCACTGTGTTCCATGTTATCTTCAGTTACAATGCAACTAAAGAAAACCACACAACTGAATCAGATACACCAAAGAATCAAGTTTGCACTTTTTATCTGAGAACTGCAACAGCACTGAATTCTGCCTGACAATTACAGCTCTAAACCCAGCCCACGCAGTTTTGATAAGCTAACTTTACCGTACAAGTGTTAGGTGCTGCACTGTTATTTCATTGTCAGAAGTGTGATGTCAGAATGCCCACGGAATAAAAGTACATAGCAAGTCACCAAGTTAGATTATATTGCTTGTTACCTACCTGTATGCAGTCGGCAATGAGAATCTTGGAGCAAGCAGGAATACTACATCCGGGTCCTAATGTCCATTGCCATTTGCGGTACTACGTTCCTCACAGTTACGCACTGCAGAAATGCTGGCTAAATGCAGTTATGTAGCAGGCCACTACTTTAATAGTGCATAATTGCAGTCCAAGAACACCAGAAAATGTTCCACCAAAACTTAGTGGCTTGCCCAAGAAAAGCCAAGTATCTAAATTTTTATCTGCCATAATATGCCACTTATAAAAATTGCACAAGCGTAACATTACAATTTCCCAAATCATAGTTTATATTAGTGGTATACATCTGTAAAGAGTGGTGGGGTTTACAGTATTTCTTAAGGAATTTAATTAGTGTTCTAGGAAAAGAGGACTATGATTTCACTAACAGAGAACCAATGGGTTAAGCTTGTAAGATACCTATTAAATACAATGAAGTCTCTTTGAGAATGCAGTTTTTAAAGATTAGGAGTAGTAAGTTTAAAATGATCAGTGTTCCTCTTAAAACAAAATTATGAGAGAAAGAGAAGAGGAAAATGGGGGCAGTGATTTCTTTAAATGAGAAAAATGGCTAACTACTTCGAAAGTACTACCTTCCCTTTCCCACCCCAAGTTTCATCAGCTTTTAGGCAACTACTTTTTAAGATTACTTAAATTCACATTAGGCTAAAAACTATCATATACATTGCAAGACTTACAGAAAGTCTATTTGAGTAGCGTACAACCCTTGGTACACTGCTATTTCAGTGATAAGTAAAAAACTTAGTTGAAACTAAGCAACATTATTTGCTAAACAACGTTTAGCAATTCTACAGCCCACGGTAAGGCCATCAAAACCACAACTTTCAGCAGATTATCCATTAGTATCCTTCACCACTCTTCAAAGGTACAGTACTACCAAAAGCTTATTTTAGGGGTCTGTGCCAGCATCCCTTATAAAGAAAGGCATGTAATCTGAAAAATAAACTGAAACATTAATTTTATAGGCAGATTTTCCCATTTCCCCACCAGCCCCCACCCACACACATACAAGTTCACCCTCCATGGGTGTCCCATGAACACCCCTTATTTTATCATTAGTGGAGTCCCTACCAGACAATTCAATCAAATTGTAATGGACTCCTTTCAAATCAAGACCCTTGTTTCCATACAGAAAAATCTCATACATATCACGAATTCGTAGCTTGACTGGGGACAAAACTTCCTCATTGATATAATTATGGGAGAACTACCACCCATTTCCAGGTGTCTTGGTGAAATGAAATAATCAACATTTTCTAATGAGATTCCCTTCATTAGCACACCATGTACCTGTCAGTCACACAAACACAATTGGGTGACATGCCTTTATACTCCTCTAGTGTTTTACTTTTAGTATTGTCCGGTTTCCCAAGCAGAAAGTGCTCAATTGTTTCAACAATAGATTTCCTTTTGTACGCAGGCACAATTCTAAACTTCGGCATTTTAACAAAGATTTGATTTAGAATTTTACTTTTGCCAATTAACACCAAGAACTGAGGTGAAAAGGAAGACACATTCCATAGTAAGAGTTCTAGAACAAAGCCAAACCATTCAATTACTTTGCCTACTTTTAGGAAGCTGTTCCCTCTACTAACATATATACACTGGGAAAGCAGGTTCCCACTGTTGTACTAACAGACAACAGTAACGATGTACTTTAATAATAAGTCAAAATATCTTACTCTAATGAGAGGAGATTCAATGAAGTTGACAATAAATTGACAACACCACTGAAACACTCCAAAGCTTTACGGTGGGAGGGATATTTATATTTGTACTATGTAGCATGAGCAACCCTCTCGAGATTTAATGCTACATCAAATGAAACTATGGAAAAACAGATTAATAAATATTTTACAATTAAGAATGACTGCAACACTATTTAAGTCACCACTAACTCTTAGAAAAGAGAGCAAGTAGTTTATAGTCCTACAGATTTTGCCCAACAAAGCAGCATGAGATGTAGAAGTTTTAGAGTACAAATGTATATGGTTATGGTTATTGGTTTATGGTTACTATACTTCTTACTTTCAGGTTGAATTTTTCAGACTTTATAAACCCCAATCTTTATAAATTGCTCAAAGTAATACATGAAAAGATTTCATGTTTAACAATCTTTAATTCAAATGTGAAAGTTCAATACAAGCCATTTGCAGGGCTTGGGACTTATTCTTTTAAAAACAAGAATGGAGGAATGCAACAAAATGATCTTTCCACTTTTTCTTCAGAAACTTTCAAGGAAAGGATAGATCATAGGGCCATAAAAGATCCATTTAGTCATTCGCACTTTCTCCCCCTACCAGTAATCTTACACCCATTCCATTATCTTAATACACATTCCTGAATGAAGATTTACAGTTCAGCTTTGCTTATATAACCATTTAAAAGTACTTAGCACCACTTGCTTCCTATAATGCCAAACAAATCAAATCATGAAACTACTTCAATATGCATTTTCTTCTTTTTAAAACAAGGGGGTACTTATTTGTAGAAAGGAATACTTAGCCTACAAATACATTTCCCAGAAATGGCATAGGCCATTTGAAGGTCTAGAATTTCTCATGCTTTGAAAGTGGAATACCTAGCCTAATGTGCACAGAAGCATGAATGGCAAAGTTGAAGATCAGTATTATAACTATTTTATCTATTTATTTGAAGCACAGTAAAAAAAAAATGGTACACTTTGGAAATTCAGTGGCACAAGGTACACTGCCATAACTTGAGGGACATTATACAGTTTTTAAAAAAAAGGAAATAAAAAGGAAAAAAAATTCCGTTTCAAAACACTGCATTACATAATTTTACCTGCCCAAACAGACCATTTACAAATATTAGGTCAATAAACTGCTAACATCCATAAAAAGGTAGCTTTCTTACTAAAATGCAAGAATTTAAAAGATAGGTATCTAAACAAGAAAAGACAAAAACAAACTGGAATGAAAGCCTAGATGTCACATCTAAAATCGGGGTTTTTTGTTTGGGCCTTCATACTCTTCTCTCCCTCTACCATATCCTGCTGGAGTTCCAGGCCCCATTCCTCTAGGACCCTGTCCACCCACAGGCCCCGCACCTCCCTGCCCAAAGCGCTCAGTACGCTATTGGAACAGTAATTAACAGTTCATTATATGTAGTTGATGTCCATGTGTGTTAAGTAAATATTTTAGAAGGTTCCGTAGTCAACGTTCGTCGATACAATCACCAATGAGTCGATCCACAGGTACCGGGAACATAGAAAGGAAAAAAGGGTAATTTGAAAATTAGTTTACGATAATACATGCCTTGTGGTATGTTCCCACTTGAGCCATTCTCATACACCTGTTTCAAAGAACAGATCTTCCCTGTAGCGCTAAAAAATTTAAGAATTAGTGTAGATGTGAAAACCCATTCCAAAATGAGTTTAAGAAATTTCACATCAGAATAACCCACTGAAAAGCTTGCGAACTTCTCACTTTCAAGGTCTGAACAGGAAATTTAATAAGTAAGCCTAACAAGCCCAACCAGACAGATTCAATTCACTCAATGAAGTGACAAAGACCTACTCACCAGTTAGTGGCATGTGCTGCGTAAGAAACCTTGAGCTTTTCAAGATCTCAAGACACATCTGCTAAGTTGCAGAAACCTTAAAAGGTTCAAAGTTTTAATAAAATGCTACCAGACTACAAAAAAGCATAAAAGACTAATAGATTTAGTCACTTAACCGGCACAGTAACTTGATTAAAAAACATGTTGCCATGTTCTCACAGGTATACCACCTTCAGAGCCATCACTATATAACCAGAGACAATTATGTTCACAGTACTAGTCTGTATTATTGCAAATTGACTAAATGTACAGCCCACCCCCATAACAGCCCAACTCTTCCCTTAAGTCTTAAAAGTCCACTGGCACTTAGCTACAATTCCATGTTTTGGGTATCTCCCAAACAGACTAACACCAAGCTTAAGTGACTACAGTAAAACAGGAGTTCATTATTGCTTCTAGGTTTTAGGTACTTTTTAAGTCTTAGAAAGCTATGTACCCAAACAGAAAAACCCTATAGATATGCAAGCACAGCAGCCTGAACTATCTTTCAAATTCCATTTAAAATACATCAGTTACTAAGTATTACTCCAAAAAACACAGTAAACAAAAACAAAAATGGCATCAGGGTTTAATTGTTCCTATGCATGATAATTTCAACATGTTTCTTACAGAATACTATAAGGGCTATTTGGAAAGAATACATCTCATTCTTTTATTTTTTTAAATCCTAAAAATTTTAGGGTCCTCACACACTGTACTGTATTTCAAAAAGCTAAAAAGAAAAATTTGGGCGTTTCACAATTATGTTATTAGATCATCTTAGAACCCAAAGGAGCTGTTACATGGACTACAGAAACTTAACTGTGGGAACATCATGTCCAGTTAGATTTTAACAAATTTGCTTACATACCTACAGTCTGCCTTAAGGAAGCACATAAGCCAAAATGTTACCCACATTATTTTTAAAATTCAACTTGAGGGAAGCCAATAGCACTACATTTAACCCACCAGCTATTTACAGCTCTAATTCCCAAAAACCCATTAGTGAATTTAATTAGGTGAGGTCCCATACTAAGTCCTTATGTTCCTATTTGTAAAATAGATCTAGTGAGTTACATGCTGCAGCTTCCTTCCTTTGCCAAAACTCTGTAGGTGAACTAATCAGATTCAATAGTTTTGAAAATCCACTCCTCCCTAAACCCACTTCTAAAGTCAATATTCAGTTCTAAAAATCTGTAAAGCCCTAAATACAGCCACTCAGACCAAGTCACTTGGTTTTCTAAAGCATCCAGATAGGCTATCTGCACAGCTAAAATATGATAGCATCAAGAAGGTTCAGCTCAAATGCACACAACTAGTATGCTTAAAATTATCGTTGGTTTTTCTTGCTACTCTGTAGCAAAAGAAGATGTCAGTTTAATTTTAGAAGGTGTACCTATAGACAGCCCAACAGGTGGGAAACGACGAGTCAAACATTAAACAATTCCCTTTTATTGGCTAGAAGCCACACCAAATGTAGGTATAAGTCCTACACATCACTAAAACATGCCTAGAAACGGCAAACTACTAGTCTAATTCGTACTTATGGCAAATACCAGCTGAAGGAACAACAGTTTGCCATTTGATTACTCTCACTTGGATGTAGAATAATCATTTACATTATCTAACATTTAGAATTTGGACTTGCCATGTGCTAGAGTGCAAGAGTACACAAGCAATATATTGGAAAGCACCTAAGTCTACTTATTGCCAAAGATAACTCCAACATATTATTAACAGCATTGATTTCCCATTGGCAACCATATCTGTTTAGGTTACCACACACTGAGTTCTTCTATGTTGCCAAAGTATTCCTCAATATTACGATTTACACGATAGGGGAACTAAAAGAAGTCCAGTCACCTACTTTAAAAAAACAAAAAAAACAAAAAAACACACACGTAAGTTGTGAAAATGAGAACTTCCTTTGTACTACGTCCCACAGGATACATTACCATGTCGCTTCCCATCATGGAACCACTCATGGTTGCTGGTGGAACTCCAGGATTAGCTTCATAACCTATTCCACCACCACCACCTAAAGGTGGAAATTTCTGGCCTCCTGAACCATAGGGATCTAGGAAACAAAAATACTGGTTACAACTCAACCAGAACATTGCTCTCTAATGGTATTGTTGATTTTAATTTTCATGCTTACCTCCCATGTTCATTGCTCCTCCACCACCCATTCTCATGTCTCTTTCTCTCTGAAAGAAGGAAAAAAAACAAACAAACCATGTATCTGTTCTACACCCATACTATTTTTGAGAGTACCAAAAAAACAAACAAAAAAAAAAAAAACAACAAAACAAAAAACCAGAAAAACCCCCAAACTTAATTTGTTTTCGACATAAAAAAAGATCCATTAAGGCAATTTTAAAAATCAATTTCTGGCCCTGGCTGGTGTGGCTCAGTGGACTGAGTGCCAGCCTGTGAACCAAGGGATCACAGGTTCAATTCCCTCCCCAATGGGGCCGGGGGGGGGCCCCCCCGCGCTGCAAGAGGCAACCACACAATGATGTTTCTCTCTCTCCCTCCCTTCCCCCGTCTAAAAATAAATAGGTAAATAAATAAATAAAATTTCTGAAGCCAATTACTGACACTCAGTTACCAAAAGACCTATAAAGGCTCCTTTCCAACCAATGAATCTTGGGCTAAACCAAAAAGATAAAACTCTTTAAGGCATATCAATCATAGTATACTTGTTCCAAAAAAAAAAAAGGGTGGGGGGTTATAATGTGAAGCATTATATTTAACTGAGTAAAACTTCATTCTAGGTATTCACAACTTTTGTAGACAACTCCAATCAGACTGCAATAGAAATTTACTTACTGGATCCATGTAGCCCATTCGGCTATAACTTTCTTCTCTTTGGCGTCTCATTTGTTCTTCCATCTCACGCTGACGAATCATCATCTCTTCTTCCCTTCTACGTCGTTCCTCCTCTTGCCTGGAAATATTTATCAAGCATATAAACCAAAGTGTTATCACATCTTTTCAAATTCAACCTGAAAAAAGCTAATAGTTTGCCTCACAGCTTTACCAAGACCAGGTTAGAGCCAACACATAAAAAGGTCAGGAGAACCCTCACTGGATGGCTCAGTTGATTAGAACACTGCCCAAAATACACCAAGGTTGAGGGTTCAATCCCCAGTATGGGCACATACAAGAAGCAAGCAATGAGTGCATGAATAGATGAAACAACTAATCAATGTCTCCCTCTCTCTCTAAAATCAATAAATAATTTTTTTTAAAAGATGAGGAAAGTGAGTCTAGAATAGCCCTAGAAATATTCTGGCTAAGGAAATAAGAATTTACTTATAAAACCAATTCAAGTGTTAAACCAACACCGACTCTCTGTACTTCACCTGATTCACTTGCAAAATTTAGGTTCATCTTTTCTCTAAACATTAATGAAGGGAAAAAAGGCTAAGCTTAACAAAATTTTTTACCTTAATTGCATTTCTTTACGTTTCTGCATTTCTTGATTGTGAAGTTCTTCCATTCGTCTTAATTCTTCCTGACGTCGCATCAGATCTGAACATTGGAAAATTTAATTTTGGATGCACTTTAGTGAGATTCTGGTAAGTTCAAAAAGCAACGATCCTATCAGCAAAATTCAGAGGGTCATTTACCTTGACGCAAAAGATTTGCCTGATGTTCATGATAGGCATCTTCCATTTCACTTTCCAATTTGTCTTTTGCATCTTTCATGTTTTTTTCAACTTGCTCCCTTTGCTGTTTCTCCATTTCATCCAAGGACTTCCATCTCTGAGAATATTCGTACTCAAAAGTACCATGCTGGGCAAAACGAGGAGGAGTTTCTCTCTCCCTGATAATATTTAAACATGAATCAAGTTGGGGATACACACAAGAAATACTTCCAGACTACCCTAAAAACATTGGTCTTTCCGTCGGCCTACCACTTGTAAGGAAAATCAAGGAGCAAAGACAACTTTGGTTCATAGAAAAACAATATTTGGTCACAGCAAAAACAATATCGGTATGTCCCAGAATGATACAGTAACAGAACATCGGCATTGATGATAAATCCTATCTTCTTTATTTCCTAATCGTTTCCTCTAGTCAAATTCCTATTCAAGGAAAAATTTCCCATCCTTAAAAATTAAGACACTTACACATGATGCAATTGTTTTAAGAACAAAACAAAACTGTATGTGAAATATACCTCTCAGAAAAAAAACTATGCATTTGAATAATTGCTTCAAAACCTCAAACTTTCTGAGCCTAATGTTTTCATTAAGCATATTCACTTAGAAGAATTTTGCCTATTTTAAACAAAACTGAAAAGTTACCATAAGTTCTAGCTTTCACTTAAAAATTGCTCAAAAGTTTAATCGCTCTTACTTTTGATACATTGGATTCTTCTGTGCAAGTTTTTCAGGAAGACCATCTTCATCATCTAACTGTTCAAGTGGTTCCACAATGACTGGACGAGGAGTTCTAGTAACAAAAGAGGTTCCATCTTATTTTCCAATTTGACTGCCACTTCCTCATACAAGTTACATAAAAATTATTAAAATAAGAACAAGAACTTACGTTGTCAGTAAGAAAACACCTTCACTGCATCTTTCAAATGCTTTTCTTGCTGCTGGTTTAGAAGCAAATTCAACAATGCCTTTCCCTGTAGATCTTCCACGATCATCCACAATTACCACAGCCCTTTCAATAGGACCAAACTGGCTAAAGGCTTCTTCCAACAGTTCATTGGAAACATAAGGTGAAAGATTTCGAACAGAAAGGGCAGCAGCATGTGTGGCAAAGCGAACCCGAAGCTGTCTACCTCTCATGGGTGTATCATCAAGTTCAGCTTTGGCAATTTCAGCCAATGCTCTAGATTCCTGAAAGTTATCAGACATACTTATGTTAATGACCTCAAAAACTGTCGCGTGCCCACCCTGAAAGTTCCAAGGCTAATTCCTATTCCTGTTGTTCTTCCAGCTCAAATTATCTCCAGGGAGCCTCCCTGACACCATTCACAATAGTTAAAATGCCTCACCCACCCACTCCCCTTGTCTTAGATACCAACAGTTATACACTACACAGCAGTCGCATCTTTTCTGCAAGAATGATGGAAATTTTAAGGACCAATTTATTCTTGTTCATTTAAAAACCGGTAATTTTGAAGTAGGAAAAAAAAGGTGGATTCTTTAATCATACATAAAAATCCGACAAACTCACAAGTTTAATAAATCCGAATCCTTTGCCTTTGTTGATAAAAACTTCTCCTGGTTCTCCATATTTAGCAAACAGTCTTTTGAATTCATCCTCCGTAATATCAGCAGGTAGATTCCCAACAAACAACCGACAACGTTGAGTGTAAGTTTTCTCTCCAGGTCTCCTCAACAGAGACAAGTTGGCTTTAAACCCCTAATGAAAAAGGGAGGGAATTTTCAGACACCAGTGACCTCTGCGAACAGGGAAACCCACTAATTCTTGCTTTTAGCCAAACTGGTTCTTGCCAATCGGGTTGCTCTTCTGTTTCGTTAAAAGGCAAAGCAAGGACCCGCTACATTTGTGGGATTTCCACAGTAATCAATATCCTAACATCAAACAGCCTTGGAATCACTCAAAACGCCCGAGAATTGACACTCAGAACTCTCTACAGGTAAGTCTATCAGCAACCTCGTCATCCCCACATGCTGAGCGTCCGACTAAACCAAATCGTAGGAAAAAAAAATTCAAATGGTGGTTAAATATTAAATGAAAAAAAGAAAAAGACCAAACTCCCGTAGCCACCGACATGACTTGGGCCTGCGCTTTTCAGACCGGAACTGCCCCCGCCCTGGTCTCTCGAACCCTACGCGGGTTCCCAGGATGCTTCGGCCTCCGCAGGTCCTATCATAGCCTCTCTTCGCCTCTCCCCCCAGGCCACCCTCCCCCGGCCCTCTGGCGGCGGCACGGCCAATCCCCCGGCGGGAGAGCGGACCCACGCCGTCCGCCCCTGGCTCTGGCGGGCAACCCCGCCCTCCGCCGCTAGCGCGCAAGCGCCTTTCCGACCGCCGACAAAATGGAGGTCGGCGAGGGGGAGGGGGACGAGGAGGGGCCGCGGCCATCTTAGGGAAACCGACGCGTAGCTCCCAGGGACACTCACCTCAGAGTCGGAGATCTTCTCCTCGCTGCGACCACCGGGTCCACCGGGCGGGGGCCCCTGGTGGTGCTGCTGGTGGTAGGGTGGGTGGTGCTGCCGGCCTCCGCGGGGCTCCCCGCCTCCTCGGTGCGGCGGCTTGGGATGGCCACCAGGAGTGCTTAGGCCCGGGCCACCGCCGGGCTTCGGCCCGCCTGGCATTTTGCCGCCTTTGGGGCCTCCGGGTCCTGGGCCCTGCTTAGGCCCTGGGATCGGGCCCCCTGCGGGTGGAGGCGGCGGACCCCCAGCCTGAGGTGGGGTGGTGGGGACTCCGCTGCTCGGCGGCGCAGGCGGGGGCGCCCCGGGGGGCGCCGTGGTGACAGCGGGCGGCGGGGTCGGGATAGGGCCTGGCCCGGTGGTGGCCCCAGAGGTCGGGGGAGTGGCGGGCGGTGCCGGGCCGGAGGCCGGCGGAGCGCTGCTTACTCCAGGAGCCGGGCCGGGTCCCTGAGGAACGACGGGCTTGGACGAGTCCTGTGGCGGTGGCGGCTGCTGATGCGGTGGCGGCTGTTGATGTGGTGGCGGCTGCTGATGCGGCGGCTGAAGCGGCGGCGGTGGCTGCTGTGGTGGCGGCTGCTGCTGTGGCGGTGGCTGCTGCTGTTGCTGGTGCGGAGGCGGTGGCGGGATAGGGGGTTTGGGGCCACCCTGGCCCGGGCCGGGACCCATGGGTCCGCGGTTCTGATTGAGGCCCATGCCAGGCGGAGGGGAGCGAAAGTCGTGGAGGCCGCCACGGCCACCGCCTCCTCCGCGCCGGTGGAAACCGCCACCGCCGCGGCTCCGGAACCGATCCCGAGACATGTCTGTGATCAAGGGGCGGTCGAGACAGAAGCGGAGAAGACGCTTGGGGAACGTGGAGGCCACCTTGCTTCGCACAAAATGGCGGATGACACAGGCTGCGCGCCGCCTTTGTCCTTTTCTTATATAGGCCTGCTGACCTGGCCCGCCTACTTCGTGATCGGTAGCTCCAATAGCCAGTTGCAAGTGCCGTACTTGATGACACTAAGTTACGAAGCGCTAATCTTTTCTATTGGTTCCTGGATGAGAGGCGGGAGGAGTGAGTAGCTGAAGTTTCCAGCTGGCCAATGAGCGGAAGAAGAGTTGGCTGTCGGCCGCTGTGATTTGCTGGGAGGAATTTGAATGGGTTCGCTAGACCAATTTTCTCAGGAAAGCAAATTGCAAGGGCCCTATCAGATCCGATGGAGACGTGTGAAAGGGTCCTTTTCTTTCTTGATTTGTTCTTGAATCAGTGTGCTGTTATCCTTGTCCAGAAAGAGCTTAACGTTCTGTGGTTCCCAGTCACAGATTAAGTGCCTGCTACCTATCCCACTTTGTACTGGGCCAGTGAAATTAGAGAAATACAGTTTTACCGATTTCACACACAGGATCTTTACTGGCTTCATTTTGGAAACTCATTGGAGTACAGATTTGTCTATCAGTATAAACGTCACAATAGGCTTAAGTAAGTGCACTCTATTTTTTTTTTTTTAAGTCCTTGATAGGTGGGTGTGTGTGTGTAGAACAAATAATTTACAAACACAAATAACGGGGAGTATAACGTTTTTCTTAATTCCACTACCACTCAACACTTTATGAACAGATTAAGATACTTTAAAGTTGCAATATTAAAATATATGGAATCAACCAACAGGCAGTATCCTCTTCAAAATCTCCAACTTCTGTGAAGTGCACTAGCCATATTCCTTAATACTCATACTAGTTACTGTCATTTACGGACCTTTTGGTGGATCATTCCTCCCTCAATTAGTATTAGCTCCCTGGTTGGTGTGGCTTAGTGGATTGAGTGCCTGCCTGCAAATTGGAGAGTTACTGGTTCGATTCCCAGCCAGGGCACATGTCCGGTTTGCAGGCCAGGTCTCCAGTTGAGGGTGGGAGAGAGAGACAACTGATTGATGTTTCTTTCCCTCTCTCCCTCTTTCACCTTCTCTTTGAAAATAAATAAATAAAATATTTTTTTAAATAAAAAAATGAAAATATTAGTTCACGGCTTATTGTCTTCCTTTCCATCTCTATTTCTGTTCATCGTCTAACATCTATGTGGATGACCACTAAATGCTCTGTCAACTCTTTACCTCCTCACTTCCAACAGTCTTTCCTTCCATCCTACATGAGCTGCCCCATCTCCATGTCTGCCCCACAGGTCATTCCTTTTTTGTTATTGCCAGTAAGTATTCCATCTCTAAAATCTCTGTTTCAAAAATCCCAACTGTCTGATCATAGTAACTGTTGTTCGACTTCATCAAAACCTCCAAACCATTAAATATTAATTTTTCAATATCTCACATTCTTATAACTTGTGTCACACAGTTTAGAAGTTAAGTCCGCCTGCAAACACATACAACTCTTGTTTTCCTCCTTCTCCATTATACTCACCTGGTAAAACTCCATTGTAGTTGGACCCAACAGTTTACCTTCTTTAACAAGGGCTGAGGCTTTCACTTTAAATTCTTGACCACAAGCCTCAAAGGGCATAAGACTTTTCCTGGCACTCGTACTGAATTTTCCTAGTAAGTTCATTTTCCCACTTCCAGAGATAGCGTATTTCATGCCTCCTCTTTTCAAACTCCTACACATTCCCCTCTCCTTTCACCATAACGACTGACTTCTCATATTTGAGAAAATAAAACTCATCAGAGAGGATCATTCTCATCCAGCTGGAAAGTCACGAGCCTACTTGATTTGTACTGTGGGGTGCAAAAATTAATTTTCCTCCCACATTCTAAGTTCTTCTAACTGGGTTAATCCAATTAATATGAGACACATTAATGGGAGTAAATGCCCAAAATATTAGGGATGTACATTTTGGGGTGCCATAAGATGTGAGACCCAAAGACACATGGGGCAGTTGAGGTTTGTATGCAATTATGGACAAAGGAAAAGGAGGCAAGGGTCTGGGATTTAGAAAAAGTAAGCAGTTTACAGATTGATACTGAAAGGTCAAACATGTAAAATTCTTACTGGGCCACCCAAAAACAATGAGACATAAAAGGAAGTTCAACAAATGGACTTTGCTAGATTTTCCCCTGTCATTTAGTTTATGTTATGATGCTATGACGATTCTTACTTCATTTAAGCAGGGTTTTCCATCTGAATTCCTTTAGGCAGAAACGGGGAAGAGCAAAGGTTTTCTCTGAGTCTTTCGTTTCTTAATAACCAGTTTGAAATCAATATTCCGAAAGGCACATTTTGGGGTGACAAAACTTTGGTCCCCCTCATTACCCATCTTCTTTTCCATTTTTTTAAAAGATGTTATTTATTTTTAGAGAGAGGGGAAGGGAAGGAGACAGAGAGGGAGAAAAACATTACTGTTCAAAAGACAAGTAGTTGCTTCTTACACAACCCCAAACCGGGGATCCAGCCCATGACCCAGGCATGTGCCCCAACTGGGAATCAAACCCGTGACCTCAATTCCCAGGCCGGCAGTCAGTCCACTGAGCCACACCAGCTAGGGTTTCTTTTCCATCTTTCTGATACCATGGAAGATATCTCTTTGCCCCTATCAAAGGGGACCCCAGTTCTATGGATCCCATCTCCTCCTGCCTTTTCTAGGACTTTTCCTTGTATCATCGATTACTTCTACTGGGTCATTACCATCTTAAGAATAAACAAAGCCTTCCCTTTATTCTATTATTCATTTCGTCACTCCTCTTTGCAACAAAACTAAAACAAGTTGTCTCCAACTAGGGACATTTCCACCCCAATCTGTTTAACCTGCTCTTAAACTTGCCAAGGATACCAATGATCTACACGTTGCCAAATCCAATAAAAACTTCTCTATACTCGTCTCTTTTTATCTGTTAGCAACATTCACCATAGATGGCACTCTGTCTTTATGAAACACTCTTCTCACTGGCCTCTGTGAAACCACATTCTCACAACTTTCCTCCTGCCTCAGTGATCTGTCTTCTTCTCTGACTCCTCCCTCTTATGTGTCTAAGGGTGGAGATCTTTCAAGACTCATTTCTGGGACATCTTCAAGACTTCAAATACCACCTAAATGTTAATAATCTTCATATTTATATTTCCATGATAGCGTAGACCTCTCATTTGACTTTCCAACTCATTTGTCTAACTACTTAGACCTCTCCACTTGGAGTTTTAGCTGGCATATCAATTCAATGTGTCCAAACTGCAGCTCTCCATTGTATCGACCTAATCTGTCCCTTCCCCTAATTTTCCCCAGCATAGTAAATAGCATCATCTCATTGTTAAAACAACAAGGATTCATCCTCTTCATAAAATCCAGCAAATTGGCTCTACCTCCAAAGTAATATCTCGAATCCATATACTTCTCTCCATCCCTGTCACTGCAACCTAATCTTTTCCACCTCCATCTCTTATCTAAATTACAGCAAACAATATTTAACCTTTCTCCTTGCTCTCTTTCTGGCTCCTCTCTAATCCATTTTCCATATGGCAGCTAGAGTGATCTTTTAAGAAACAATCATTTAGCCCTAGTTGGCGTGGCTCTATGGACTGAGCACTGGCCTCCAAACCAAAACGATCTGATTCAGTTTCCATTCAGAGCACTGGCCTGACTTTCAGGCCAGGTCCCCAGTTAGGGGCATGAGAGAGGCAGCTCATCAATGTGATCTCTCTCACATCAATGTTTCTCTCCCTCTTTTTCTCCCTCCTCCCCCTCTCTATAATAATAAAAAAAAGAAAGAAAACTTTAAAAAACAAAAGACAAAATAATTCAGATGTCATTTCCCTCCCATATTTAAAGTGGCTTCCATTTAGAATAAAATTCAAATACCTTAACAAGATCTATAAGACCTGACTCGATCTGACCTCCATCTGCTTCAACATCTTTTCTCTCAAGCTCCCTAACCTTATCCACAGGAAACCCCTATCTGTTCTTAGAATTTATCAAGTTATTTTGCATGCTTTTTGCCCTGGTGTACTTGGACTTGCTGCTTACTCAGCCTGAAGTGCTATTCCCCCAACTTTCTGTACTTATGGCTTCTTTATTCTTTTGTCTCAACTTGAACATCACCTCAAAAAAGCCTTCCCTGCCAATTACTATATTTAAAGTAAGCCTCCCCTCTCTGTCATACCATTCTGTATGTGATGTAGGGTATATGATGGCTCTCTGTACAATTTATATTTATCTAGGGTTTTTTCTCTTCACTTGTTTATTGTCTGTCTCCTCTGTTAGACTGGGATTTCATGTGAGTTCTTATTTAAGGCCATGCCACTGGTACATAACACAGAGACTAGCCCTGAGATGCTTAATAAATATGTGTTGAATGAATAAATAAATGAATGAAAGCATAACAATAAAGAGCAGACTTTAGTGCCATCTCCAGGGCCTTGTGCCAAGGTCCTTCACATTTCTAACACACTACCTAAGGGGTGCACACTCCTCAGGGAAGTCATGAGGTTTGATGTGGTTAGTACTAAGTGCTCACTAAATACTACCTACTGTTATGAAAAAATCAGAGCCCTCTAAAGGCATTTGAGTGTTAGGGCCCAGAAGACAAATGGAGCTAAGTAATAGAAGTTTGGTTAGTGTATTCTTCTTGAAGAGGCAAGGGAGTTTATAATGTATTTCAGGAGAAAGTCTATCCTTGAATTTAACAGTAGATTAAAAGAATGATCCACCACAACTACATAGGCTTTTCTTAGGAATACTAGGATGTCTATATTAGGAAAGTTATTATGATATAAGAAGAAAAGCATTAAGCTAATACATCCCATTAATAAATCAAAAAAGGGAGTCCTGCCAGACAGTTCAGTTGGTTAGAGTGTTTTCCCTAATAAACCAATGTTGCAGGTTCGATCCCAGTCATGGCTCATACAGGAATCAACCAAAGAATGCATAAAGAAGTAGAACGACAGGTTGATGTCTCTGTCTCTCTCTTTCTCTTTCT